AGTTAATTGATGCTTTGCTAACACTTACAACTGTGGATGCCTCATAATTTCATTTTTAGCTTTCATAGTTTTATCGTAGAAGGCAAATCCTCAGGGTTGAGACTCTGCCCATTCGTGAATGTCTCAATTTTCGTGGCGGATAACTAATAAAGAACGGATGAAACAAATGTGGAATACAGTATGACTGATTTGTCGTATTCAATTACGGCAAATAAGTACTGTATGACTACTCCATCATAGTCAGCTGGGGTAAACGGGACCTGTTTTCTAAGTTCGATCTCATTTTCTGATCATTTTTAGACACTTTTCTCAATAGGTACAGCTAATCCCTCTACAACTCGTTCATTCTGTTCGATGGTAAAATGATACTGGCGCGGAAACAGCTTATGGCTTGTTTGCAAGTAACTCAGCAGAAAGATTCACTAACGGCCTTGCCATCAGTTGGTTGTTGCTGGTGCGTGCTACCACTCGAATTAGCTCCGAATGCTTCTGTCCATAATCGAGAGTGAGCATAGAAGCGAAAAGGGTTGGCTTTTAGGCATAACTTTCTTTTTTTTTTTCATGATGCAGCTTTCCTCTATTTTCTGTCGATTCCGGTACTTCCTTGGCCTAGTTTTGAACTTCACTCAGTTGGTTGTAAGAGTTTGTAAATTGATTTTAGGCTCTATGCTTTCAAAATTGCAAAAAGCTGCGCAGAAAATCAACGGAAGAATCGACGAGAGCACAGAAGCTGAACCAGTGCAACCTCCAACACCAACACGGCGTCCGCTTCAACCCGTTCAAGATGCGCTGAGATCGCCAGCAGCAGGTGTTGGGACACCGATTGGCCGATCAAGCAGCGAGGAACGAATTGAGCAAGTTAGACGGGCTACCACTTCAAGCTCGCGTTTAGTTAGCACAGTGAGTTTTTCAGATGTTCGGATTATTTGTTTATGCTAATCTATTTTAAAATACAGTGAAAAAAAAAACTACGGTAATTTAGCTATCTCGGAAAACTTAAGGGAACTGATTTTCAACGATTAGGGGCCTTAAGCCGTTTCTGAGGGGTTTTTTGGTTTGATAGCTTTATTTTGCTCGTCATTTTACAGCATACTCGAGTCAGTTGAAATTTATATGTTGGTTTCCTAGCTAGGATTATGTAGCTGGCAACTTTTCCGGCTGTTTTGACCATTGCTGCATCAGCCTGCTGAAGATGGCAATTTTCGACTTTTTTG